TGTGTTTTCATTGTAACTGATGTGCACAGCTTGCTTGACAAAATTTGACCGTATTTTTGAACAGCTGCCAAGCTGTGTGAGTGCTGGGCCCAAGTGTAACACTTCTGTGCAAAATATCAGTGGAGTCTCTGCTTGGGGAAATCAGCATTTTCTACTCTGAGTTCTATCTCAGTGTGGCTTCTGACCTGCAAGGACCACGTTTTTGCAAGCCTGGACAACAGAGATTGGACAGTACATGAAAGGCAGAAGCCAGCAGGACCAGCGAGAGTCACTCAGGTTTAGTCCTGAAGCTGGATCCCAGCCTGTGGAGCACCAGCTCTGCCTCTAGGTGCACAGCCAGCAGACCTCTCAGGATGCTGGTAACAAATTGCCAGGCATGCAAAATGAGGACTAGGTGTTGCAAAGAGTAGCTATGCAATATAGAAAAACTCTACGTTGCATGGTGATTGCCAAGACCAAGAGAAAACACCAAGCTTGGGCAAAGGCTAGGGCAAGAGCTAATGCTTCAGAAAGGTGAAGCTACTTTAAAACACTCCAACGCAGACAGTGAAGATTTTTTAGGGCAGATGGAAGTTTGGACTATGTTATGTCATTCATTTTATCCATGATGTATTTCTAAAAAATGCTCAGCAACAAGTGTCCTCTACTGTTTCTCCCTGCTTGAAACTGCTTTGTGTAAGCTATCTTTAATTAAAACAAGCTTTTTCTCATGTGTCCACAATTGATTCCTTAAAATATTAATAATTTTCCCTACATTGGGTATCAGAGCCATTACTTTTTCCTGTGTATCCTTTAACTATATTTAAATAATTCATTTATCCATTTTCCAGCCCTCAGGGAGACTTGGGGTTTGTTTTACACCATGTGATCCCATTTAAAACAGAGGATATTTCCTCCTCCTAAAGTTATAGGATATTTTCTATCTTTACAGTGTTTACTAGGCATGAGAAACCAGTTAGCCACCATTTTATTAAGACACAAATGTAGCATGGAAATATGTGTCTGCCTGTGTATAAATGCCCTTTCCACCGCTCATCAATCTTTCACTAATTAGAAAGACAAAAATATTTTAAAACCAATTAATGTCACTGAGAAACATTCCAGTAATTCTCAAAATACAGTGTAACCATGATAGATACATTTCAATTATTTCAAGGCATGTTCGCAGAGCACTGAGTAAGCATATGGGAAAAGAAGGGGCTGAAAGCTGCACTGCTCAGATGATGAATCTCTGACACAGGATGTGGATTAAGGTTTAAGTGAGACCAGCAGTTCACATTCTCCCTCAAAAAGCTCCTGAGTCACCTGATTATGGTGCAACCTTGACAAATATGCACAGCGTTGTCTCTCACAGTTGGAATCACCAAAGAGGCTAAAAACAGCACCGTGCACTGCATAATCTCTAACCTCAGGGGACAACAAAAACAGAGAATTGCTGTGTCAATCTCATTTCCTTGTTAGGCTCATTATCATAAATGCAGGCCTTTGGTTTTGAATGCCACACTTCAATAAGATTTACCTATCAACAGCTGCTGAAATATTGAATTCCACAGTCATCTTTTCCTTTTGATGCTTTCCCTTTTGTTTCTTTATCCATAAACATGAGCAACTGAGCTAAGCTTAAATTAACTAGCCAGGGTTAAATGTTTAGGGCAGCAAATTATGGCTAGCCTGCTTGCAGAGTGGTTTAGATTACAGAGGAGAGTTGCCAATCTCAGCTCTCATCATGCACTCCAAATGTGCAGAGCAATATTGGCAGTTCATGGCCAAATCCTGCATGCTTTAGTTATCACAGGAGCGCTGCTCCCATGAATAAGTGGAGGAAGATTTAGCCCCTGCTCGGAAGATAGAGATGAATCACACTTTTATTCTTTGAGTACCTCACAGTACCTTCAACACAGACATGTTCAGTGATTGATAGCCTGTGTCTAGATTGGGTATTTTTCTATATACTGACAAATATTCTCTTTGCAATGATTTCTAGGAGCAGCGGAGTATATACTGCAGCAATGTTGGGCTTCTTATTTTTCATTGTGCCCGTTGTCTTTGTTTTGATTAGGTTTTCTTCCAAGGGTCAGTTACTTCCCATCATTTTTCCGCTTAGAGTGCTCTGCAATAATCCTGTTACAGATCTCCAGCCCTTAGTGTCAGTGAAACAGTGAAAACTTGAATCAGTAAGCAGGTAGGGAAAAACACAACCCTCTCTTCAGGGTCAAATCCTAAGTCATGGCACAGTCTAAGGGAAATGAAGGTGTTTGGCTTTCTGAAAATGAGCTGCTGGTATCACCTAAGGCTTTTTTTTTTTTTTTGGTTGATCAAGGTAAATGCTATGTGTTAACTGTTTTCATCCAGTGTGCAACCAAACTGGGTTTGTAATTCAGAGTTAAATATTTGGTTAATAATAATTTCATGACTACATTCTGAGACCACAGGGGAGCAGTAGGCTGTGCCACAGGGAGCAGCCATGGAAAAGGGCAGCCCAAAATCACTCACAGCAGATACAGCAGCATCTTCCCATACCTGGACACCATCACTTCATCCAGCCTGCCTCTTTGCCAGTCTAGAGCCACGCTCCTCCACTCCAAAGGCACATAGTCCTCCTGCAAGAGTGGCTGCATGCCTGTACAGAGCTCAAGAACAAAACGGTGTTTCCTAAAAAAAGGGCATTCCACAAAGGAAAAGGTGGGACCACCAGGGTTAAACACTTTTATATCACAGGACTGACCTGCAGGAGCCCATCAGATTAGGCACAAAACACAGTCTTTTGGCCACATCACCAGAGTCCCTCATCTGAAACTCAGGGGAAAACATAAAAGGAAAGGGGGAGACATCAACAGATTTTTTTTAGCATACATACCCAAAAGAATCACTGAGAGAAAATTAGAGGAAAAGCCAAGCTTTCCTAAGAGCAACTGAAGTGGGCGCTGTCAAAAACCTCAGCAGGAAAGAAATTCAGGGCATATTCCATTTTCCTCACAGATGAGGTCCCCACCTCATTTCAGTAGCTTTGAGCCCTGTTAACTCCAAACCTGTTTCTCTCTTCCTGTCCATGGGGAGCCAGCATCTGCCCAGTGATCTGCCTAGAGCCCGGCACAGAGGGCAGCTTGGAGGACATGACCTGTCACCCCTGGTTTTCTCTGTCTGTATGAGGCTCACGTCAGGCAAGGACTGCTTCTTCCATGAGGAGCTCAGGGGTCGGCATCTACACCAAGGAGTAGAAAGCTCTGTGAATATAGTTGAGACCTGAAAAAGTAATTTTGGGCTGTTTATTTGAATGCAACTTTTAAGAGCATAATACTAAGTTTATATAATATTAGCACTGACCTCCAATAGCTGCTGTGGCAGAAGCCAGTCAGATGAGACAAGGTAGAGGACATATTTAATTTCTGAGTGGGAACAGTTTCTCTTACACATATTTCCAGTCTTTATTTTGCATTACAGTACAACCGTACAGTTTTCTTTTGTTTTTTTTTTTAAAAGCAGAAGTGATCAGACTCAGGCAGGAAACAAAGAGACTTATGATTGATTTTGCTTAGGTAAAACAGTTATTTCTATTACACTAGCCTTTACTCAGATGCTTTTGGCTGCAACAAGGAATCGATTTATTCTACTTGTCAAAAAAATCAAAACCAAAACTAGCCCAGCTCCTGGTACACCCTGCAGGAAAAGAATGCCTGGCTTGTAGAACTTAACTCCACTTTCCTGCGCTAGATGGGCTGAAGATTGCTGGAGTTAATTACCACCAGCAGAGAAGGGCTGCATTTCATTACCAGCGAGCCCGACTCTGACTAAATAAAAAAAGCTGAAATGGGAGAGCAGTGACCACAATAAGTGGCCAAAACTCCTCGTGATGACAGAGGAATGATTTCCCACTGCCGCCACTTAAATACAACTAAGGTGTTCTGCAATTTTACTTCCACAAGCCAGAGGGTTTATTGTAATCCTGATAAATTATAGCAACAGAAGCAGGCGAGAAGTGGGACAGAAGAAAGGAAATGGTAATGCAAAATATAAAATTGCTTAGCAGAAAAGAATGGAGAGAGCAAGTGAGCAGTTTGTTATCGTTTATTTTTCTTCAACATATCATTCGCTTTCAGCTGTCTCCCATCTCACCCAGATCTCCACCATTTCTCAGAAACGTCTCTCGATGGCATGTCATTCTCCTCCTGTCTTTCACCATCGTTTCATTATTTCTTAAGTGTCCCTGAAAGGGCCCGGGCAGGCGACAGGGGGAACGTGAGCGGTGGACGCGGGACCAGCCTGCGCCCCACGCGTCCGCCGCACTTAAGCAGTTTGCAAAAAGCGAGCGGGGGGCGTTGCAAATAATGTTAAATGTGATTAATCTCCCGGATTCCTGGAAATCTGACATGCATGAGTTACGGCGAAACCTCTTTTATTTCGCCATGAAATGCTTTTGCATAATGAGAAAGAAAATGTCCTCTGTGCCCTAATCAACTCTGACAGGTCCTGGACTCCCAAATACTTTTATTTATGGCATTATTTATTCCACCCCTAATAACCGGGGAGGCGAGCCCGCGGCTCGCTCCGTGTGCGAGAGGAAGGCAGGGAGGGAGGGATGGCCGGCTGGCGGCGGGGCTCCGCGCCCGGCCGAGGGGACACAAAGTTTTCGCGGCGGCCGTCGCTCGGCGGGGCGGGGCGGTCTCGCAGCCCGGGGTCCCCTCGGGCCGGCCGGGGCCGGGCGGAGTGGGGGGGGCCCCGCGGCCGCTCTTTCCCCGCCCGGCAGCTCACCTGCCCCCGCGGGGGGGTGCCGGGGGCGGCGGCGGCCCCGCCAGCTCCCGCCTCCCCGCCCCGCTGCCATTAGCAGAGATTACCCTAAACACTCGCCGGTCGCCGCCCGTCTCCCTCCAGGCATTGGCGCGGCCGCCTGTCAATCAGGCCGGCGCCCCGCCGCGCCGGGGCTCCGCCGTGCCACAGAGACGAGCCGCGGCGGCGGCAGACACAGCCCCGGAGCGGGGCCGCGCCGCGGGAGGCGGCGGAGGATGGAGGAGGAGATGCAGCCGGCGGAGGAGGGGCCCAGCACCCCCAAAATCTACAAGCAGCGGGGTCCCTACAGCGTCCTGAAGACCTTCCCCGGGAAGCGGGCGGCGCTGGCCAAGCGCTATGAGAGACCCACCATGGTGGAGGTGCCCCGCGGGCGCGGAGCGGGGCAGCCCTTCCCGCACGCCGCCGAGCCGCTGCCCTACGCTCCGCACGGCCCCTTCCCCAACGGGCCCGCCCGCCCCGGCGCTGCCCCCGGCGCTGCCCAGGGCCACCCCCGGCCGCCGCCGCCGGCCCCGAGCTCCTCGGGCCGCTACGGCCCCTGCCCGGCGGTGGCGGGGGGCGGCGGCGCGGAGCTGAGCGCAGGTACCCGCAACTCCTCTCCTCCGCGCAACTTCGCGGGGCACTTTGCAGCAGGCGGGAGCGGGATGGGCGCTGCGGGCTCCCCCCGGCGACACGCAGCCCTCTCCCGGGCGGCTGGCGAAGGGCGCGACGGCCGCGGGGTCCCCGCGCCGGGGCTGGGTGCGGCGGGGACGGGGCGGGCGGCTGGGTCCGGCCGGCGGGCGGGCATCGCTGAAGTTGCCGCGGCGGGCGGGGCCCGGGGCGGTGGGCAGGGGGCGGCGGGGGCTGTGCAGGACTTGGCGGGGCAGGCGGGCGCCGGCCGGTGCGCACCTGCGGGAGGGAGCTGGAGCTGGAGCTGCTGCCGCTGCCGGGGGCGGACGGGGGGAGCCCCGGGCCGGCCGCTCCGCTCCGCTCGGCCCTGCTCCGCCGGGGAGGGCGGCAGGCTGGGGCCGGCTACCGGAGGAGCTGCTGGTAATGGAGAGGCTGCTGATAGAGAGGTGGTGATTTTAACAGAAAGAAAATAGATCGGCTGCTTGCCTGCACCGTTTTCATAAGATGCAGTGACAAACAGGAGATCAAATTATTTTTTATTTTTTTTCTTTAAAGGTGTAAGATACCGAGATGCTGAACGCATATCTTTCCTCTAGTGATGGCTTGGAGTTAAAAACCACGTAGATCTTGATATGCAACCTAAATTTGGCATCAGGAAATGGGAAATTGCATCTTTAAGCAGAGTACAATCAAAAATGAATTACAATAAATCCTATATAATTGCATAGGTCATTCTCTTTAATGAGATTTTATTAACCTGACTGTCAAGCTTTTGAGTCAGGCAGATATTTTATCTTCTTCAACTGATAAAAGTGTCAGCTATAAACCACCATATAAATATTCATAAATCTACACATCTGTGGCAGCCTATCAGCATCATTCTTTTGGACATTAAAAGCATTCTAATTACTTTCTGTCTAGCAGAGCTGAAATGCTGCCTGTTATAGTATGTGCTTGGCAGGCATGATTGCTTTTGTTTGCCATCACAAATAGCAGCATCCTATTTTATATACTGATGGTCCAGAATATATTCAGGGTTTGACTGAACAGGATGAATATTATGAAGCACCATCTGGTTTTGATAACATCGGGTATATTAACTCATCTGTTAATTTTTGACACATCATTGATTTATTTATTTAGAAAAATTGGATCCTGTTTTGGTATGTTGCTGTTTGCCTTTGTAACAAATGTGATGACATTTCCTTACTAAACTGGGAGATATGCTAGTTAATAGGATATATGGCTATGTTTTAATGCCTGTTTTGGCTTAGAAGTAGCCTTGTTCTGGATGAATTTATCATGTCTTGTTACAAAAAATTCAAGTACTTTACCAAAAAAGTTTAACACTTGAATAGATTAGCCAGAGAATTCACATCTCTGGGACATAGTTCCATGAATCGTGGCAGAAGGTCATCTTTCCTCATGAAATTGCTTCTTATATGAAATGCTCAAATGGTGGTATTTAACTATTCTTTTTGGCCCACAATCAAAACACTTATGACAAATGTGACACCTACATTTCTTTACAGAAGCAGATTACGCCATGGAAAACATTCAGCTGTCTGGTCAGATGATATATGAGGCCATATTCACAGCAAAGCCCTCTGGGCTTTGATGAGCAGAAGTTTGGACTTTCTTTCCCTGAGTACATTGTGCTAACCAGGCACTAGAGCAGGCTTTGGAGCTTGTCTTGGTTTAGTTCTGTGCTAAAGAGATAGTGAAGGACCTGCCATTCATGCACCAGAGTTCTCTGGAGTCCCTGTTCCTTCAACTGCTCATTCAGGCTTTACTTTATGTTCCTGTATGGGTCCCAACTTAGCCTTTCTCAGGTTTAAGTGCCAAGAGAAACAGAGCAGGAGAAAACAAACCAGAAACTTGCTACAGTGTGTACAAGTGGTATTTTGCACAAGTTGTTGCTGGAAGCTGAGAGTTGTCACCAGTGGTGGCCCAGGAAGTTGTTAAGGGGACTGGAGCACCTTCCTATGAAGACAGGCTGAGAAAGTGGGGAAACTATGAAATTCAGCCTGGATAAGAGAAGGCTGTGTGGAGACCTCATAGCAGCCTTCTAGTGTCTTAGGAGGGCCCACAAGGAAGGTGTAGAGGGACTCTTCAAGAAGAACTGAAGCGACAGGACAAGGAGTAATATGTTCAAACTGAACGATGGCAAATTTAGGATATGCAGAAATTTCTTTTTACTGTGAGGATGATGAGCCACTGAAACAGGTTACCCTGAGAAGCTGTGGCTGCTCCATCCCTGGCAGTGTTTAAGGCCAGGTTGGATGGGTCTTTGGAAGGGGTCTTCCACCTGGTCTAGTGGAAGATACCTCTGCCTACAGCAAAGGCTTTGGAACTACATGAACTTTAAGGTCCCTTCCAACCCAAAACGTTCTGTGGCAATAAAAAACCAAAAAACCAAAAAAAACCAATAAGCAAGGTTTAGATCTCCTGGGTATTTTAATCCCAGAGTAGGGATGTTTTGCTGAGCTATATGCCCATCCTTCCTGCTTGGTGATGGATTAACACCATGTACCTTGTTCTTGGGAGCTGTAGCACTGCTAAGATGAGCAGGAAGCTAGCTGGGACCCCAGTGCTGTATGTATGTGGAGAAGCCGCATTGTCCAGAGGCTTGAAATTCTCTTAACTAATATGTGAGCCAGTTTAATAGCACAGGCTGCCTCTGGGGAACCAGAGTTGGGGTTTTGCCCCTGGAGAGTGAGAGCATTTGCATGTTCTCCATGCACTGTACTTTAGCCAGCACCTGTGGGGTCTCTGGGCTCCCCACAGTAGCAAGGGGAACAGAGCTAGAACACCTCTTAGCCAGAGGTTCATCTCAAGTGTTGTAGGGAGGGACAGATCATCCCCTTAGTAGGTGTTCAGCTGCTTGTGCATTCTCCACAAGGCAGTCACAACCATGATGTGTACAGTTTTCCCACTTAGTTTATCCTCAGCACTTGGCAGGTGCTTACTTGAATAAAATAAGTGGAGTGCTGTAGGGCAGTTTTGTAGGAACACCCACTTCCTAAGTTCAGTTTCAGAGATACCCCTTTTTGCTGATTCCTTCTCACTTGTGCAGGCAACAGTAAGGAAATAGCTAGTAAAACACCACTGCTGGAATGCCTAACTCTGTGCCAGCAACTTAAACACTTAATGCAGTTGATTCTTAAACTTCAGGCATGACATTTCTGTGGCCCCTTGGGATTCACAGCTCCAAGTTTGCTTTTGAAAAGTGAGCACCTCAAACACAGTCACAACTAAAGATGCTTCCATATTTTTGCAGTTTTTGCTAATGGTTAGAACTCATTGCAAGACTAACCAGATTTTCCCTCAGGTGCTCTCTTAAGAGACCACTCTCACCTCCAGACTCCAGCAGAATTGCAGGAAGAGGGGCTAGAGAAAGGAGGAATAGCAGGGATTCTCTACCCAGTGCCATGGTGAAGAAAAATCTAGCTTGAGATCTCATCATGTGGGGAAAGATCCTGTATGAGAAATGTCATCTTAAAATGAGAAATGTGAAGCTGCACTGCAACACAATCCTTCTCTCTCCTCTAGAGGTTACTCTGACTGCTGCTGCTGTTGTGAGCCACATGGATGGACTCATTCAAAGCACCAGCAGATACCCATTTTCTTCTGTAAAACATCAATTATTTATTAATCTATCCAGATTATTTTCCTAGTATGAAAATAATGTGTATCTCTGTCTTTGGTAGTATGTGCATTGGACAGTACCATAATCTACCAAAGTCCTTTTCCTTAAGAAAGTGTGATGTAGACCTTGCAGTGCAGCTTAAAATTTAGGGTGGGCCTTCATGGAAAGCAGAGGAAGAAGAGCAGAGCTAGTAACACCTGTTAGCAATGCCAAAACCATGGCATATTTGAAACGACCAGTTTATAAAGTTCTGTTATGCCCAGACAGAGAAACAGGTTGTTCTGTGAACAGCAAAGGTGAAGATCAGTGTTTTGACCCTTCCATAGGAACTGTGAGCCTTCATCTGGAAGTAGCTCTCTCAGATGAGTACTGAAATGGCCAGACACTTGTAGTCTTAATCCACTGGACTGTCTCAATGATCTTCATGCAAAATGTCCAAGAAAACAATGCATGGTCATAGGAGGTGTCAGATGCTCTCAATTTTGTGACCTAAGCACAGATATTTACAGCAATGGTCATATGTAATGACCAAGTCTCTATGCTCGGATAAAGGCCAGTTTGAGGGGTTGAAGGTTGCTGCCCCAGGATCTCAATTAATAAAAATATTATAATAAATCAAGAAATACAAATAATCAGGTGAGAGGGCTGAATCACTGCAAGGTGAAGAGTGAGATGATTGAAATTGCTAAGGAGCCTGAACGTCACAATCTTGCTGAAAATTAAATACCAATGAATACATTCCCTGCAGGGGAGAATGTATGGTATTCAGACCCACTCAATACTTATAAAGATGACTTTTTAAACCAGCTTCACAAGAACACAAAGGAAACTATGGAAAAGCCACAACCTGAATCCAGAGCCACTGAGACCCAACACAATACTTATTAATAAAGCTGTCTGATCTAAGTATTGAAAAGATCCTTAGGTGTGGGAAAAGCTGAAGTTATACCTGCCGAATTTTCCAGACATCTTTTCTGATGCATTAGTGTAAGTTATCAGATTCAGCTTCAGATGTTCGCTCATACTAAACCCTGTTTTCATTCTGGCAGTTGAATAGTTAAGAACTTCCCCTAGTCCAATGAGAAAAAGATGTGAAGATGAATGCTGTGTCTGGGAGCTGGTACCTGATTTGCCATATGATAGTATCTTCTGGTTGCTTGCAGTCTCAAACAATCTAGTTAGGAATACTTATGTTTTTAGCAATTTAATCCCGTTCTCTTGGCACTTTATGGGTCTTATCCAGCAAGTCCACCTCCAGGCAAATGTCTAGTTAATGTCGATAGAAGTTCTGTAAGACTAAAGACTCTGGGGTCTGAGACATTAGAATTACATGGTTGGTGAGCAAGGTAATAGGGAAAAAGCATATCACAATAAGACTTTAATAAACTGTTTACATTGTTTTAGTCCAGTGCAGTGATTTCAATAGGATCCTACTTTTATAGAAAATACATACATTATATTAAATCTATTAAGAATTATAGATTGGTGTTTATTTAGTAGTAATCACATAAAAACAACTTTTTGTCATTTCTTAAGTGATTAGACATTGCACAGTGCTTGCATTTCTAATTATAGTCAGTCTGTAAAAGCTGAAATCCCAATTTCTACAATATATGCTAAATGGGCACCATTTGTTTTTATTTTTTTCTCCATCATAAGGAAGAACTGTAGTTATCATTCTCATTTAGGGTTGATCAGACTGTGGGTGTGTGCACCATTACTGGTGTAGAAGTCTCTTCAAATCAGAACCTACCTCAGCACTGAGACAGGTACTTCCAGAATATGTGCTGGGAGCATCCCTCACTATTGCTGTCCAGCAGCCCCCAGAAAGAAAGCATTTGTGCATCTCTGGGTTAGCATTTCAAACAAGCCCTACTTTGTCATGGCTCATTTTTATGCCTTTGAGTATGGGTTGAAGTTAAGAAAAAAACCAGTAATTGCTGTTATTGTGTCTTTGTAGTAGAACTGATACTGAAGATTAAATCAATAATGTCATTTCTGGATAAAATTTCAGTTACATTTTAAGCCACTATCACAGTGAATGTGCCTAGTGCATTAAATTTTAGAACAAAACTAATAATTATTTTAATCTTTACTGGTGTTAATGTGTATTTTGGTATTCTTCAAAACTAGTAATTTGAATGTCAGGTTACCTTTTGCTGTTTTTAGAATAAACCGTAATATTAGAGTAACATCTCTTATAATAGTCTAATCCCTTATTAGTTGTTTCATTCATATCTTGTCCCCATGCAACAAGGATATGCAAAGAATACGTAACTGTTTTGTGAGCAGGGACAATAATGATTAAAATACAAACAGTATAGATGACTTCAGGTCTGGAATCAGATTATAGGATTAAAATGAATGAAAAGCTATTCTGTAGTAGAATTGCAAAGTTCCAGTCAATATCATCTTGTAATAATTTTAAAGGGGAAATGTGGAAAGAAATAAGGCAAAGAAAGCACATCTTGCTTGGTGTTGTTAGTGATGCTTGAATTTCCTGATTCCATTTTGGTTTATCTATCTTAAAGCTGCCATGTCACTAGGATTCTGTTCTTTTAATTCATATTACATCTGCTGTGTTGTTATGCAGTTGCATTGATTGTAAGGGTTAAAGACATCTGGCCTCAGGTTAGTGTAGAAAAAGAGAAGCACCTGGCACCTCATGGGCACCCACTTGCAAAGGGGGCACAGTGCCTGTGCATTTCTGCCCTGTGGAGTTCATAGTGTGGACAGAGGGTATTGCATAATGCTTTGGATCAAAGATGTGTTGTACAAATCTGCCCTCGTTAGTCTGAACTCTTCTACAGGGAATTTGTCTTTTTGTTACTGCTATTCAAAGATACATCCATAGTTT